TGCCTGTATAGGTTATGCAATTAATTGACATAATGATCTGTTAAAACAAACAAGGAAACAGATAACTTGTTGAAATATGTAGATGGTAGGAACAGGTAGATCAGATATTCAAACAAGGCGCAATCTATTCTAAAACACTGGTTATTTGGAAAGTAAAACGTTTATGGATAACAATACATTTTCTTTTGTGTAACCATTTACTGTCACAAACTGAACTCATGAATTCTGAGTATTGACAGATAAACAGTAGTCTAATATGGTTTTAATTTAAACAAACACAATACAATGTGTATGATACTTAGTTTCTCTATATGGACCTGCACAACAACATTACTCTCAGTGGAACGAAACGTCGACAACAATATACAATTGTATGATAAAACTGAGTGACTACTTTCAGGATTCTAGTGTGAGTGATTTTGTTTTGATGACCTCAGCTTGTATATACGAATTCATCTATCATATTCTTAACATATAAAACAATAATTCAAGTAACAACAACGTATTAACAATCATATTGTTATTGCTTAATACTATGTATAATAATTTTATTTCGTAAATAGAATTATCCGAGTAAAAGGAAGGAAATTTGTATAAAGTATCTGTTTTATTAATGGCGAGACTATAATTTGTGGATGAACCAATCAGATTTAAGATAGCAGGTCTTACATTTTGGCGCGAGATTCATACACTCATTTGGCTAAATATCATTTCAGCATCATCAGTTCGTGATGAAAACATTGAATATAATTTCTAAACTTAACGTTCAGCTGTAAATCCTAATCGTAGTTCCCCGCATTAATTGATAACCGTCATTTGACCCTAGTAAGTAGATGGGTATTTTCAAGGTCATTTTAGCGTTTCTCAAAGGTCGTCCATAAATTATAGTCTCACCATAATTTCTCATAGCTTAATACTATCAAGCCAAATATCCAATAGAAGGTCCACGATACAAAAGTTATCTTATTGAGTTTATGGAAATCGGTAATAACGCTGCTACGAATAGTATTAGCGTTACAAAATTATTTGTTTAACTGAAGAGAAGATATTTCATGAGTATGGTCAATTGATCAGTAGTCTTCTATAACTTTCAATTATTCATATCTATAAGCTTTTACTACGTAATCATACAGCAGTGTTGTGATTTAAAGGTTTATTAATATATCAACAATAATTTTATTGTTGGTTAATATTACATACAATCTTAGTTTTCTGAATCAACAAATTGATATCAGACAATAAAACACTGAGATGTTTATTGTTTTGTTACTAACCAAGTAGTCAGTAACCAGTTTCACTTATCACTGTAAATAAATCTAAATTTCTCTAAACACTATTTTATAATTTGAAAGAAAAATGTTACTATGTAACTGAAGTTCTTTTAGTTAATTACTAATCTGTTATATTACCAAGTAATGTTAAGATGGTGGTGAAGATTTGGAGCTCAGGTGGATGATTTTGATGGATTTTTGCTCTCTGAGCTGGGTGGTTTAGTCGTGGGGCTTTCATCGTTCTTCTGAGCGACATCAGAACAAACTTCAGGTAGAGGTGAAGTGTTCTAATTTCTCTACACATATGGCTCACAGCTTGTCGTGTAGACATCGATCTTTATTGGTTATTATGGACCTTAAACCTGTCATTCTTTATTTTGTCTGTATCTCCTATTGGTTTGATTTTCGGTCCTATGTTTGTCCATAATTTTTCTGTTTAGTTGATAAATTGGATCTATTTCAGTGTGCTTGTTGAGTGCCAAGCTTTTAAAAATTCCCTGATGTTTTTAGAATTGCCTCTATCAAATATCTCCACATTTTTCCAGTCGATTGTGTGTCCGCAGTTGTCTGCATCCATTGATATAGGTGATGATATGTCATGGCGTCTGACCGCTACTTGATATTCATGCAGGCGAAGATGAAGAGGGCGTCTGCTTTGTCCGATGTAGTTTTCTTTCACAGTTGGCACAATTTATTTTCTAGATGATGCTCAGTTTTTGTTCTTTTGTCATTTCGTTCTTTGGTCTCAATAGGATTGATTGTAGTGATTTTGTTGGCTTGTGTGCTACACTTATTCCGAAAGGCTTTGACAATCTCATTGTAGATTCTGATATGCCTTTTATATATAGTACGTTAAGGTGTTTGTAGGTTTATGTGCTTGACTTTCTTTCTGATGATGCGTTTGTCTGATATTTTTCGACACGTTTGAGGTCAACCAATAAAGATCGATGTCTACAGGACAAGCTGTGAGCTATATGTGGAGAAATTAGAACACTTCACCTCTACCTGAAGTTTGTTCTGATGTTGTCGTTCATAAGGACGATGAAAGCCCCACGACCAAACCACCCAGCTCAGAGAACAAAACTCCAACAAATGATATTTGTAATCACGTGGGTTATTGGTCATAAATTAGAAAACAATAAGTCGGAATGATTTACAGTTCTGTGAATGTTTTCGTAAGTAATTGATAATAATAATACAGTTATCTGACGCTACAATTTACTTCAACCATCTTCCAGTATATTGCATGCATGTGTAGACGTTACCTTAAAGAAACTAGTAATAAGTTTTATGCTTTATTTGATTATCAATGAAACCTGAGCGTTAAAAAGTGTTTGTATCCGTTTATTAACCATCTGGAATCTTTTACACTTGAACTCTGAACAAAAAGTTAAACGGCGGGATTTATGAAGGGAGCATTATTTTGAAGGTTATTTCGTGTATAGAAAATAAAAAAGAACTATGTAAAAGTTTGTAACCCTGGAATTATAAATACTTCTGGAAAATATGTGAAATGTGTTTACTTAGTATGATGGAAGCATAATCTGTCACTTCATAAAATTATGTGGAAATTTTCTGAGCACCTATAACTAATTCAAACATTTGCAATATGCTTCTAGCTTCTGAAGACTTATTTGAAGTGTCCTAGAGGGATTTCAAGAAATAAAAAGCTAAGTTTCAAGTCTTTCTTACTGTCAGACCATTTCGTCAGATAAATCTTTAATGAACGGCTGTATTTCAGTAATTGTTCTACTTCAAATAATTATTTAACAGGTTGTCACGTTTGAAGAGATTACAAGATCAGCTAAAACCGGTGAACGGAACGAAAGTTAGTAACACAACAACAGGACAAGCTAAACTACTCACTGCACCTCGGCCCTGATAACTAGAGAAAGAAGACTAGATTCAGACGAGGGAAAATATATTCCACAAGCACACAATTCGGACGTATATATACAGTATAAAAATGTCTTTGGAAAACGTCACACGAAGATGAAACAAACTAAAGACAGTTAAGGTCCTTCCAAGTGGGAAATACAATCGGAAGATAAAAATGAGCGCTTTTGGCATGAACATGAGAAATTTAAATGTTCAAATGAAAATTACGAAAAAATATGACGTTTACCTAACGATTTCTGGAGGTCTAGCATCCTCAATACAGATAACAATGGTTTTCTCATGTAAACACAAAAAGAAACGAGTAATATCAACGAATTTCATTAGAAATGCTTACATTTTTTCATTACTTCATGTTATGCATTCATTCAATCATTTCCGATATGGTTAGAAAACCAGTTGGCTGTTTTCGTCGTTGTGCAATACAGTAGTATTTTTGTGTATTATACTTTTATAATTTTACAAGAGAATATCATAGTTTTATTGATTAGACATTCTCTATATCATTTACAATATGATAGTATGATATGTTTATATTTTGTTTAAATCTCTGTTGTTTACCTCGTTTCATAATGACAAGTGATATGTAGTTAAAGTCAATGTAATAGACCTGAAATTGTTGAGACAAAATGTCTATAGATTAGTATCAGAAGGGGTTTTGTAAAGATTGTAGTAATTTCAATAGTTGAGATCATGAGTCAATTGAAGCTAGTCCTACAATGGGACGAAATGGCCGTCCAGTGCTTCCAGGTTTTCCATGCTGATCTAGCTTCAATTGATTCATGATCTCAGCTATTGAAATTATTTACAGATTAGTAAGCTTTCAATTTGAACTATATATTCGAAAGCATTTTTCACAAATTAATTCTAGGAAGTAATTTCCTACAAGTATAATTCTAAACTATTCTCTCGACTGTCGAACACAGAGCCTTGGCTTAGCCAAATTTAGAACAAGTAAGCTATTTGGCTTGATAAATTTTATTTGCTTCTAAAACGTATACGAATAATCAATACAGTCTATTAAACAGCGAAAAGCAGAGACATAGGTAACATACCGAACAGTAATTAGAGGATAGGAAATATCAGTCAACAAAACGAACATTGAGATCATGAGTCAATTGAAGATAGATCACCATGGAAAACCTGAAACCACTGAACGGTCATTTCGAATTAGTATGCTACTCCTCAGAAGTGCGCATCCACCACTCCATCTCGCACAATTCGAATACAGGACATATCAGTCTCGCGCACGAACGCTCAACCATTATACCACTGAGCTGGTCGGCATCTAACAGTGTTAATGTCTAACTTCAACCAGTTCACGTAATTGAGCGATACATCCACCATTGTCATCAATGTGTTACTATCTCATAACTGACCCGGTTGAACTCCACTGGTTACTCCTTTTTACTAGAACTCCAGAATATACCTCTTGAAGCCATTCACTAATGAGCATATGTTGATTCATATCAGAAGGGTTTTTGTGGAAATTACTGTGATATCCACAAAAACCCTTCTAAAATGAAACCAATATTGTTTTATGATGAACATAAAATTGTGATTGGTGAATAAACAAGGCATAGTCATACAAGGTCAAAGAAAGTTAATGTGGTGATGGGCGTTTCATATTATCATTGCTGGGTTCGTTTTTTCGATCACACTTTACAATAATAGCACTCAATCAATTATCAAACAATGATGTCACAGTTGAAGTTTCATGTTTGTTCAAGAATATTACATATCTGCATTGACCAATAATAAGATGTATCGGATAAAATATAGTTTGTAGAAGTGTATAAAAATCATTTAAATTCTTATCAATTAAGAAATCACCATGAATATTTTGTACGTAGCAACTCTACTGTTTATCTTGTGTAAGATCAAATTACGTATTCATCCTTTTGTGTAATTATTTTGTTTACTTCATCATTATATATAATTCATTTCATTAATTATACTGATCATCACTTATTGTGCATATCTGTTCTATTACATTCACTATATATCTCACTCTGAGAATTGTAAATTATTCTTTATAAGCCTCTCATTATACTGATAGTCCGATAGTGTATTTCAGTCGTAAACTGCTTATTTGGTGAATAAATGGACATTCATTTTTGAATGTACGTTTAAAAGCAAAAGCAAATTTCAAATAGAATGAAGATGGAATGTGGCTAGCAGTGGAATTCAGGATGGATGTTTCATCCTATTTTAAACTCATCAACTATATAAAGCAGCACCTCAGAGTTGATGTTCACTCTGTGAATTTCAGCCAGTATCTTCCATATCAGATGTCAATACGCTACCCACTGAGTTTGGATAACCCCTCACTTGTTAAGCGTTTGTAATTTCTAACTTATTATATGATCGTTGAGGTTATTCCTTCTTGGTTTTCAGTATTAGTCAAATTCCATTTATTCTATATCAACTTATGTCAAAATGACTGTATCATGGCACAGGATAAACACATACCAACTAAAACCGATCAAACTTCTGACAAAAATGTCAACAAAGCGATCATTCAAACCATTACAAGTTAAATTTTGTTTTAATATATCAATCACGATCAATCAATTCAATAAAGGTTTTTGTATAACATTCAAGTTAAACCTAAGAAAGACGTTATATTTTCAGATTTCCTGTGCCTTCCATCTTCTGATGCTTCTCATTTGTTATGTAAGTTTATTTAATAACTATTCACTAGATTAATTTGTTTATATATATATATATATATATATATATATATATATATATATATATATATATATATATATATATATATATATATATATATATATATATATATATGAATTTAACAAATACCTCAAGATTATAAACTTTTCACTAAACCAGAAACCATTTTTCGAAGTTTATTATAATCACAGCTGATATCAGAAAGAGCTGGAAAGGTTTGCCCAGGATAGGGTTGGATGGAGAGTGCTGGTGGGCGGCCTATGCTCCTCCACGAGGAGTGACAGGCGTAAGTAAGTAAGTGATATCAGAATAGGTCCATATTTTTTCTGACTGAAAACTCACAACCTAATAGTATATGTATAAATAATATGTTACTTTACAGCAATGGACTCCAATATCAAATCAGTTGTTTATGAATAAAATGACACTATTATGTAATTTTTGACTTGATAAAGGAATATGAAGAAGAAACAGCGGGATTTTTTAAATTTAATGTTGCATAAGTAAAGAAGTTTGAAAGATTTCCTAAAGCTACTGTCTCTTAGAAAATTGCGCAACAATACTAGAATATCACAGAATCTGGAAGACTTTCTATAGAGTGCAATATAGAATGACGAAAAAGTGAATACTATAATTGTAAAAGGCAAAAAATTCATAAGTTCTAGGTCAGTATAGATTCCTTTGCTATTGATTACTGGAATCTTCCCATTGACTTTTAAGACTACAATTGATCAGTCTCTTATTGGCATTTGTGGCTATGAGGACTCAGTAGCTAAGTGGATAACGTGGTGGCGTTTGAAGCAGACGGTACTGGGTTCGACTTCCAGGGTGAACATCAACTCTAAGATGTAGGTACATCTAGCTGACGAGTCCCAAATAGGACGAAACGCGTGTTCTGGATTCCACTGCTAGCCACTATGCATCATTGAGTAGATCGGTATAACTGAGAGATAAAAAAACTGTTGGGAAACTGTTCATTTGCAAGCAACTCCAATTTTATTGATATAAAGTTATATGAACTGATTTTATTTTCGTATACATGAACTTGAAATATCGTTGAACTGAAGAATTATGTAACGAAAATGAACATTAGTTTAATAATTTGTCTTAATCCTGTGAATTTAAAACCGTCTCTCAAAAGCTTCTGGCAGGGTTTAATCATGATGTTAATAATTGGTGTGGTGACCAGACAACAATCGATTTATATCAATAACATTTCAGGCAGTGATCTTGTAATATTTACGTGAAATTCATTCATCCATATTTCTAAATAGAAGTCTGAAATTAAAGCCTATGCCAGTTCGCAAAAATCACTCCAACTTTAAGTCCTAACCCTAATTATCGATCTTAATTCTTCACTCAAACTCATAACGATAATCTAAACGTATCAAATGGTTGGTTTTTCCTCAAGATAATTATCGAATCACTCAAATATAGTTCATAAGTTCTAGTCTTGCCAACATTTGTACTCTATATATAAGTAAAGATGTTAATCTAAATAAATTAATAATGTGGCTACGTTAAATGGTAAAAACCTGTAAACGAATTTATGTAGAATAGTCATCGAAGTAGCATATTAGTACAGACCATGAAATGTATATATATAACCGCTGAAGTCTAGGGTAAATACCACTAAGCCAGGGTAAATGCAGTCCAGCACGAAGCCAAGAGCATATGTCATTCTGTATTTCTGGTTCGTGATAATGATCCTTCCGTAGGTTCACCTAAGACTTTTAATTCTTCTAAATAGTCAAATGAAGTCATCTTAGCATCAGTTGAGCAGCAAAGCCACTACAACGACACCAATTCAACGACCTCATTAAATCATTCAAGCGGTAGTAGCGACGGGCGGTATATATATATAATTCATTAAGGGTGAATCATAGCAAAGGGCTTCACTTACCTCTTAATATTGAGAAAACATTTATTTCTTATCAATATAGGTGTGTTGGGTTTTACAAGTTTTTGTCCAAGTAAGTTACCTTAATTATTAAATGGAGTATATTTTTTGTTATGTACTTATTTCAAGATAGGTTTCATATGTGTTACAACTGCTTTAAATGTTCCTTTAAAAAAATCTCTGTTCATAACGTGAAGATAAACATGTAAATAAAGGGCTGATGGATTTACATTTGGCTTGCTCTTAATTTCTGAATGATAAAAAATGTTCAGCTTAAAAGATATACCTCCATCAACCATTTTATTTCTCATTATATAGAGATTTCTCGAGATTGCAGTATATTCAAAGTTGAATTCATGAGTCGATCTAAGTTAGAACATCATTGAAAACCTGGAAACACTAGACGGATGTTTTATACAGGTATAAAAATTCCCGAGAAGTGTATATCCACGATATTTATTTAGAGACGGTATCAAAATTCAATAATTTATGTATAAAACTGTCTTCATGTAAAGTCAAATAAGAAGATAAATATGAAAATCTTTTAACCCCTTCTGATACTAATCAACATATGCTCACTAGTGAATGGCTTCAAGAGGTATATTCTGGAGTTCTAGTAAAAAGGAGTAACCAGTGGAGTTCAACCGGGTCAGTTATGAGATAGTAACACATTGATGACAATGGTGGATGTATCGCTCAATTACGTGAACTGGTTGAAGTTAGACATTAACACTGTTAGATGCCAACCAGCTCAGTGGTATAATGGTTGAGCGCTCGTGCGCGAGACTGATATGTCCTGTATTCGAATTGTGCGAGATGGAGTGGTGGATGCGCACTTCTGAGGAGTAGCATACTAATTCGAAATGTCCGTTCAGTGGTTTCAGGTTTTCCATGGTGATCTATCTTCAATTGACTCATGATCTCAACTATTCAAATTAAGCAATAATATTTGTCAGTACATCAGTTGTGAACATGTGTGATATAACAAACATCACCTCGATTAAGATTGGAAAGATATTTTATTGAGGTAAGTCATCATTTGATAGTCATTGATTTAATTCAAGCAATAAATCTGATTGAATTTCTTTTAATTATACTTTTTTTATTTCATTACAATTTGTTATCCTTCTTACTTATTATGAATCAAAAGTGTTTACTACTATTACTTAGAAATCTTTCCTTGAAAGATCTCCTGAAAAGAAGAGCTTCTATGAACTCATATAATTTCAATTACATGCTGGGAATTTCTACGCAAATAACATTATTTTACCGACATTACCAACTGCCTACATTGTATTTGCTTTAAAGTAATTCATCCCATTGCAAAATTAATTTGCATTCACAACCATAGAACCTGAAGGGAAACTACTGGATGTCACAAAAAGTTTTTCACTTGTCGATACCACAGTATACTCGAGTTTAAATTCACTTGGTATTGTTTGACTTGTATCTTCCCATTGAGGTTTAAGACTGCAATTGATCATTCTGTTATTGGCATATGTGCATACTGTGCGTATACCTCGATATTACTCGAGTTTAGTTAATTTTCAGAATTACTATCCAAAACATAGTTGATTCATCGTAGTATGTTTTGTATCATCCAAGAACAAGTGTGTTATTTAAAAATACTAGGAAATAATACTGTAGAAAGCTTGATATTAAATTATCTATCATCTGATTACATAGTTGTACACTTCACATGGTGGAACTTTAAATAAGTTGGCAACAAAATATTAAGCCAAAGGTTTTCACTATATGTTCATCCGTATGAAATGACATTATTTTCCATTCATAATAAACATAATAACTGTTGAATAAAGTAATGAAATTTTCATTTATTTCAATATAGTTACTTCAACCGTAAGAATTAAATATCACTTTTTATTTGCATACCTATATCTGCAGCATTTAGACTTAAGTGTGTCATGTTGTTGGAATCCACAACACACGTCAACTGGGTAAATGTAAAGGCAAAATAAACTTATTTATCATCTAATGAGATGAATATCTCACCTGCTAAATAAGTGTATCATTGTTACGTAGTAGATAATGTATTCTGAAATTTGAATTGAAGAATACTAACTTGATATCTGAATAACCATATCATTATGGATACAAGTAACTTCATTGAAAAAAACTCTCAAATATAGAAATATGAATGCAAATCTTATTATTGAGACTATTCATTTTTTTATCTACATTTTCTGTAAATTTCAGTACAGTCTCATGTTTTATCATGTAAAATTACATTTAGTTAAACCAGCGTTTTCAATACAACAGTAGTTGGCGCCAGGTTTCGACTGCTAGTTTGTGACTTTATATCCGGCTTTTTATCACGTGATTTATCCACCAATCAAAATACGACTAATACAATCTTAGCATTGTGTCAAAACGAATGACGTTCGACCGGTATGAGCAGCTTAGAGTCCTGTTGATCCTGAGTCCGCTTAGCCCGTCCACTTGAGTCCAGAACACAAATCTCAGTCTCTGCAATATGAATCATTTATTTCAAACATACTGGGTTAATATACCAACTAAACAGACCACATCGTACCATAAAATAGGGAACAACATTTGTACAAGATTTGGCCAAATGTGGCTGTGAATGAGGGATGTAGTATTTAATAGACAGGGCATAATTCAAGAATGGTAAATCGTATAATAATAGTTTATAGGTCAAAATAAAGCTTATAATAAAGGGAATATAAATATACATAATCAAATTGTTGAATAGTTATACCATAAGAATATATAGATAATATTAGTCAATTAATATCTAAGAAGCTCGGATATAACAGCTAGTTTGCACACTTACATCATCTATATATATACCATAAAATACATACAGATGATGCAATAGTAAAATACTTTATATAAAACTTATATATAGACAGATAATCGTAAATCTTGTTTTAATCATATTTCCATCATAGATACAATATTATATTCACTTTTAAAAAGGTAAATGTATGAAACCACTTCAAGTGTTTTTTATGTATCTTATAAAGTATTTCATCGAGTAAATCATCTACTTGGTATTAAATGTCTTTAAACACTTTTTCATTTTTATTCACATTTCTAGTTCGTCATTATTCAAGTTCTTGTCAGTATAACTACTAAGACATGTGACTGATACCTGAAATGTTAGGTATGCGTGTAGTGAGCGAAGAAGTCTAGTGAGAATAACCAATTATTATTGTTGTTTATTGCTAAATTACAGAAAGCCTTGATAAAATATGAAAACCGTACATCAAATACAACATTTACATATCTTCCAACAGTTTTTCTTTTAGATAAGTTATGGTCATTTCAATTCTGTTTTGTACTTCAATTCGATCTTCTAAGTCTTTTGCTCCCAGGCATTCCACCATTGATTGGTGTTATATACTACTTATATCTGTCGACATAAGTAGCATACATCACATGCGTATTTCCACAACGATTATTCTTTCAGAATGAATACTAAGAGAGTACTTTTTGAAGTTCCCAAACATGTAAATGGGTGAATTATGTAAATATTTAAGTTTTCGTTTCGGTTTTTCTTCGTAAATATATACATTACATTTTAGGCTAGGCATATCGCGTTTATACTAAATTTAGTGTATTTCAATAGAAGATTTAGGATCTTCTATCATTTCTATAAGGGGATTCTTTTTGTAGATTTTTCTAAACGTCCACAAAAAATGAGGAATAGAAATAATTGAAGCAGTTCATTTACAATACAAGATAGTTTCTTATATGTGATGCGTATGAAGATGTGTCTTTGACCCCTGAATAATCGCAGCTTACACTAACTGGATATTTTAAATTATGGCTTCAAACTGATTACTCATATCCGGAAACTGGAAAATATGTGTCGATTCATAACCATATGATGATTTAATTTCTTTTCTAGAAACCTACGGATGAAAACACTTTATCGCAACATCATTCTTATGTCTGCATATCTCAGAAAAATGTTTTCCACTATTGATAGTACGATAATTTTCTCTTTCATGCCCGAACTAAACATAAACAACAACCAATAGTTTTAGTACAAAGAGACGAGTTACTCTTCATCAACTGGATTGAAGCTATTATAAAAACATACAAGATATTACCATTGGACACCTGTTTTTTTTCTAAGATTTGACTATCTAATGAAAAGCTATTATTTTCGACATACTGCGATAGAATTTAAACATACAAACCCCATAGAAATCTGTCTTAATTCTTATCACATAAAACTCATTGTAAACTCAAGGAGATTTTCTCATAATGCTTCATTTTTAAAAGATTTTCACTGCTCTAATCTATCTCTTAAGTGTTTGAGTTTGTCAGGAAATTATGTACTGCGACAACCCAAAAAACAGTTGTGGTACTTATGAGTCGATCAATGTTAAACCACCATCAAGAGCCTGGAAGCACTGGATGGCCGTTTCGTTCTAATATTTGACCCCTCAACAGTGTGTATTCACGATCTCGCGTTCAAGACTCAAATGCAGGACCTTCGATCTCGCACGCGAACGTTTGACTTCTAGGCGAATAGGTCGGCGTCTAACGATGCTAATGTCTAACTTCCATCAGTCCATGATGTTGCGTAAACATCCATTGTCTTCGGTGAGTAGCAGCCTCACACTCGGCATGGTTGAACTCCACTGATCTCGCCTTTTGACTAGAGCTACGCGAATTCCCTCTTGAAGCTGGTCACTAGTGACCACTTCATAATTTTCAATATAGGGCTGTGGTTAATCGTTAACGCCATGGGATACAAGCTCAGTGGTTTAGAGGTAAACGTTCGCGCGCAAGATCGAATTTCCTGGGTTCAACATCCGTGTGCTGGGTAGTCGATGCCCGTTGTTGAGGAGTCCCATACTAGAACGAACCGGTCGTCCAGTGCTTCCAAGTACTTAATGGTGGTCTAACATTGACTGATTAATTATTCCAATGGAAATAAAAAATCTCCACATCCCTTTACTGATGAATTTGATACTGTTACAGTTTGGGTATTTCTGTCGAAACTGAGAACTGATACGATGTAATTAATTACGGTCGATTACCGAACCAGAACAAAAGAACAAAAATTGTCACAGAAATCGTCATATCAACAAATTCAAACCAATGGTACAACAAAATTTGTTTGTCCACAATGGTCTTTACGATCGTTTAAAACGACAATCATAATTACAAAAATTGTCCAAGCTGCATTCGTTATTCTCACTGACTCTGAGCTCTAACGCTGAACATATCTGTAGCTATAAACTGAGTCAAAAATATGGGAATATTAGAGACAATCGATAGAACGTTATTACAACTGAACAGGATCAAGAGTATTAACTGTCATAACTTGTGACCTGTGCCCTGTTAATGTATAACGTAACGATAGCGCCAATTAGAGAGCAGTGATTTATCGATCGGATCAATGACGCGTAAACCCGTATGAGCAGTCTAGAGTCCTTAATGGTCCTGCTTCCTGCCTAGCCCAACCAGTTAAGTCCAGAACACCAATCTCAGCCTCTGTAATATGAATCATTTATTTCAAACATACTGGGTTTATATACAAACCAAACTGACTACATCGTGCCATCAAATAAGAAACAACATTTGTACAAGATTTGGCCAAATGTGGCTATGAATGTGGGAGGTAGTAATTAATAGACAGGGCATAATTCAAGAATGGTAAATCGTATAATAACAGTTCATAGGTTAAAATAAGGCTCATAAATAGTGGGATATGAATATGAATAGCTTAGTTATTTAACAATTATGCGATAAAAATATACGTATAGTATTGGTCCATAATTGGATCCCAAAGTTATCAATCATTATGCTTATAGGGCAATAACATTAACACATCATCTTCATTGACCGATGCACTTAAAAGTCGCTCTAAAGTAAACAAGCTGATGTCATATCTTAATGAATGCGACAATACACCAAAAAGATATCCGACTGTTTTCTAAGGTTATAAAAGCTATAAGTTTTGAAAAATATGGTAATTTGTTTGCGAACTTTAATATTTAACTACCTACCTATCTATGAATATGACATTTGCACACTGCAAAACTTAAATGTATTGAGTGCTAAATGTATATGCTACCCCATTTAAGGTCTCAATTCTACTATTCGTATAAGAACTGATGAGCTTACTTCAATGTTTAATTTAAAGCTTGGAATGGATTGAAGTTGTTTCCCTCGATACTGGAAGCCAAGGGGTACTGCAATAGACATAATACAATGTGAGTTTTTGCTCAATACAAAACCACGAACTGCAAAAATGGTGAAAACTATAAGCCTAAAATATCGCTGAGACTAATGCATAACGTTGTCACTACAGTTATCCTACGAAGATAATACTATATCTGAAGGGCTGATTTCCCTTCTTAATGCCAGAAAAGTGGTATGATGGTTTCGTATGGTCAGGGAGAGTTGAAGTATACGCTGGATTTCTGAATATGTTGCAACGGCTTGATTCAACATCACGATCAGTTCAATGGCTACATCATTACTCTCTGGGTTTTTTTTCAAGAAAATAAAAGGATCTCATGATCTAATAGTCCAGTATGGTTAGAATTCACAACAATAGAAGACGTAAAATAATGTAAATAAAGAATTGAACTTTTTGGATCTTCCAGAACATCATTTTGAATATCATGTATGTTCTATCAATGCAAGCACTACGTAAAAGTGTTAATTCGTTTCCTTACGGTTGAGTTACTTACTGACATTATTTTGCATTGAATGGAAACCATAGAACAATATTTCTATTAAAGCTTCTTAATTAGAATTTCATAAGATTCTAATTACAAGAACTAAATCGAACCTGATGCTAAATCTTCATGTAGTCCTAAAAATATGATAAAAGTGGTTGGTATTCAGCGAATCACACTAGATCTCGCAATGCATAACTAATCGTAAATTACACCTTACGACTTTTACACTACGGTCGCTCCACTATGAAATGTATGAAAATAGTTTATGACACAAGTCTTATGAATGGTTGCTAATGCAAAAAAAAATAGCAAAAACGATAACCAAACTACTATTGAGTTATTTTACAATTACGCTTATGGCATTCTGACTTATGAATTGTATTCATCTGAAATTTAGCGTACTGTAAGTGTCAAATTAAACCTCCGTCTTAATAGTAATGGTAAGATATTAAAAGCAGTTTTGGTCAACTCACAGAACATTAAGATCTGATTACTGAACTCATCATTTTAGATAGCTACTATAAAGAGAAATTAATGTCAAGAATTAAAAATAGGTCTTTTGTTACCTCATTTCAATCACCTAAAAATACCAGAATTATTTATGAATGACAATAATAAACTAAATAAGAACTTTCGTCTAAAATTGATCCATTAGTTTCATAGTATTTGGGCGCCGAGTTAATGTGAGACATTAAAGAGGAAGAATGTATTTGTAAAATCTCAGCGAAGGAATTCGAAGTAAATGTAACATTTCGCCTGGCAATCTGGTCCAAGCTTTTTCAAGGAAAATATAATCAAACATCAAAATTATCGAATATAAATAGGTACATGATTCTCCGGTTTACTGTATTCTGAATAGGTCATTCAATCAACGTTAACAAGGATTAAAGTAGGTATTTACATTCGTGTGTAAGAGAAATGTGGTGTGAAACGAAAAGTGTTAAGATAACAGGTTGTGTGTATATAAATGAGAAGAAATTTCATTCATTATATATTGTGTTTGTAATAAATTCAACTGTACTACAGAATCATGCAAAACACAATGAAAACAGTAACAAATTACCAAGACATCAACTGATAACACTTCATCATCATTTAATGACAAAACTTAATCTTATCGTAATGATGTAAGGCAACCAAAAATATTTACCTGCTTATCATAAAAATTACCAATATTTCGAATGATGCATACATGCATAATTGGGTTAATGGAATGAAAAATGACTTAGCGAAATGGTAAGCAAACACTAACACATCACGGGCATCCAAAAGAGAAAGCTAGAGAAAATACTCATATCAGAAGGTTTGATAATTTTAACAAAGGCGACTGAGATATCTATGGCCAATAAAATCCGATGGACCAGAGCTCAGTATATGTGAACAATTATGGACACATATACTCAACTGAAAGAATGTTCAAATCTTGGACAGAAAGAACAGCAAGACTAGCAAATAATTTTTAGAAGCTTGCCATTCAGGTCAATCAGCAAGCATATAGAAATCAATCGAATTTATTAATCAATGAAAAAAAATCATGGACGAATAAAGGACCTAGAATCAGATCAGAGGGAAATAGAATCAAAA